TTTTTGCAAATGACTCTGCACAGGCGTGGGGCTACAGAGCCGTCACTGTTATTGAGCTCTCGGCCAATGCGTGAAATGTCAAGTATTTCATCAGCGGAGATGGTTGATGCTTGATAATCCCTGATGATGTTTCGGACAGTTGTGATGTCATCATTGTTATTGGTGACCTCTAGACCAAATAAGATGGCGTTTGGACGTTTCCGTTCACGCTCAACAGCTTCTCTGATGAGGATTGGGATATCAATATTTGTCTGGGTTGTGTTTATTTGTGGATTGGGTTTTGGATTGGGTTGTGGTTGTTGGGTAGAGATGTGGTTTGTAGCTATTGGAAGTTCAGGTTTTTGCGTTGTTTCTTTTTTTTCAAGGTTGGATATTCTTTCTTTTACGGCGTCCAGGGATGCTACTATGGTTTCAATGGTATCAATTCTTTCCAACAGATCCAGTTTGGGTTTGCATGAATTGCAGTAATATGGAAACTCATTGGATGATTCCAGGTATTGAATAAATTGCTTGGTTAATCCCAAGCAGTCATGATGAGTGTATTTCTTACACAGAGAACATTTGATGGAGTTTTCATTATCCTTTAGATTTTTGTAGCATTTAAGGCATGTGCAGGAGTCTTGTGGATCATTGGTGGGGATTATGTTCTCTGTAGGTAGTGCTTTGGCATAGGATTTTTTTTTTGTCATGGTAGGTTTGTTAAGATGGTACGTTGATTAAATTAATTAATGGAACAATATCACACCAATCAATCATCAATTGCAGTAATCTCTCTAGTCAGATAATATTTCTGGGCAACAATCAGCCTAATCAATTAAATATTCTAAACACTAATCAATTAATTACACTAATCATTATTCACACTGTTCATTTAAATTCACTAAATCATTGATTTTACTATTCAATTAAATTACATGCATATTGATCTTTTCAACTAGTCAGTAATAACACTATTTGCACTAAACACTCTAGTCACACTAATCAATTAGGACCATAAATCAATTGAACAATTAATAAAATATTTTATAGAAATTGATTATCTAACCGTTGATATAGGTGATGAGGTAGAAAAGTTGTAAGTTTTGAGATAATGAGTCAATCAGTGTTTGATTAAAGTAATGAGGTAGTATTAAGAGTCTGCGAGGAAAGGGTTAATGCTGTTGTTGACTGAGAGGAAATTATTGCTCTTTGTAATAGTAGATTGCTATTACTCTGTAAACAAGACTGTAATACGATGCTCAAAGGGTTTTTGAAACAGTGTAAAACTTTCCTAAGCTGTTCAAGTTGAGTAGTAGGAGAAAATACAGTCACGTGGCTTGGGTTTACTTATCCGATTTGTCATTTACTTCCAACTAAATCTGGTAGTAATGCCAGAGTTAATCGCAGCTATTTTCCTTCTTAGAGTTCGACTTTCCAGTGTCGAGTCCGGCGCAGGAAGGAAGCTCGGAGTCAGTGACAAGGTTCAGCTCTTTATTGTGCTCCAGTACATGCTTGAGAAAGGAAGGGAAAACCCCGGCTTTTTATTTCCAAGCCGCGGCGGCCCGCGGCCAATGACATCGTTTCGAATCTCCCGCTCTTGGCTCAACCAATAGCGGGAGATTCTTAACGGACCAATCCGGGCGGCTTGCCCGACCAATCCGGTTGCCGCGCGCTTTAGCCAATCGCATCGCGGGGTTTGCAAGTATGTTAATTCCTTGTACAGAACACCCCTCCCCTCTTGGTTCGTTCCTACGCAACATAGTCCCGTAAGTAGGCGGGGCTACGTACTTGTCTACTGGACCTGCGCAGGTCAGTTGTTTCCTGGCTCCCGGCCTGTTCAGTCGGGGTTTTTGTTGCTCTCAGCCTATTTGATGGAATCGTCTGGAGTGTGGGCCTGCTGCTGCAGCTCCCTCCCGGTCTACCCGGGTTGGTCGAGCTGCGACTTTTGCCGCTCCCGCTTGGTCTTTCCGGGCTGGTCGAGCTGGCTTGGCTGCTTCTCCCTGGTGCGGCTTCGAGTTGGCTGATATCTGGTGAGTATTGTTGGTTGTGTTCTATTCTTCCTTGGTCCCCTGTATTTTCCCTCCCCCCTTGGTTTGTGTTAATGGGGTTGTCTGTGCTTGCTTGCGTGTCGGTTGTGTTTTTTATTCGAGATCTTAACTGATCTATGTGGCGTTTCCACGCTTGTCCGTCCATTCTTTGTAGTCTGTATGAATGGGGACCTGTTATTTGGGTTATAGTTGCCGGTACCCATAGTGGGTCTCCGGTAAGGTTTTTTGCGTAGACTGCATCGCCTGGTTTAAATGCCCGGTGTTTGCTTGATGAGTCCGGGGGTCTTTCCGGGTTGTATGTGGGGTGCAGTCTGTCAAGTGGGGACCTTAGTTTCCTCCCCATCAGTAATTCTGCCGGGCTTTTGTTTGTTGTCGTGTTAGGGGTTATATGTTGTATTAGAAGCAGTTTATTTATTTTTTCCTGTATATCCCCGTGCTCGATTTTTTGGATGGTTTTTTTTTGTGAATTGGACCATCCGTTCCGCCCTACCGTTGGCCGCCGGATGAGCCGTCGCTGTCAAGGCGTGTCGTATGCCCTTTTCTGCTAGGAATTTTTCGAATTCCAGCGAGGTGAATTGTGGCCCGTTGTCCGACATGATGACATCAGGAAGGCCGTGGGTCGCGAACAGTTTATTTAGTACCCTGGTGACGGCTTCAGTTGTGGTGGTTTTCATGTTGCTTACCTCCAGCCAATTGGAGTAAGCGTCCACCGTGATGAGGAATGTGTGTCCCCTTGTGGGACCGGCAAAATCTATATGTATTCTAGACCACGGTCCCCTGGGGGTCTCCCATTCTAATATTGGCGCGGCAGGGGGATTTGGTCTGGTTTCTTGGCAGCGTGAACACCTGGCCACCCACCCTTCAATTTCTTTATCTATGCCTGGCCACCACGCGTAACTTCTGGCCAAGGCTTTTGTTCGTACGATGCCTGGGTGCCCGTCATGCAGAAGTTTTAATACTTTCCTTTGCAACTTCTCTGGTACAACCACCCTGTCCCCCCATAACAAACAACCTTTCTGTAGAGATAGTTCTGTTTGTCTGTTTCTGAAGGGTTTGAATGATTCGTCGTTGTCTTTTTCCGGCCACCCTTTCTCTACCCAGTGCAATACCCGTGCCAGACGTTTGTCTTTATTTGTTTCTCGGGCAATGTCTGACGCGGTTATGGGCAGGTCGGGTAGCGCCTCTATGCTGAGGGTGGTCGTCGTGGGTGCTGGGTCGTCGTTGAGGTCGGGTAATGGCGAACGGCTCAGTGCGTCTGCATGGGTGATTGTCTTACCGGGGCGGTATGTGAGCCGGTAGTCGTAAGCGGCGAGGAATTCGGACCACCTTGTCATCCTGGGGGATAGGATGTTCGGTGTGGCCCTGTTTCCCAGCAGGATTCCTAGCAACGGTTTGTGATCTGTGATAATTGTGAATTGACGGCCGTAAAGATACTCGTGGAATTTCTTTACGGCTGCAACGATGGCAAGGGCTTCCTTGTCTAGTTGGCTGTAGTATCTTTCTGGCTTGCTAAGTGTTCTTGAGAAAAATGCAATGGGTGCTTCTTTTCCGTCCGTTAGGGTATGGCTGAGGACGGCACCGACGCCAAAAGGTGAGGCGTCGCATGTGACGGTAAGGGGTAGAGTCTCGTTGTATTGTATGAGGACGGCGTCCGAGGTTAGCAGGTCTTTTGTTTTCCTGAATGCGGTTTCCTCACGCGTCCCCCAGGACCATTTTGTCGTTTTGTCCAGGAGCCTATGCAAAGGCTCCGCCGCGGTTGCCTTTTGGGGTAAGAACACGTTATAAAAATTGAGTAGTCCCAAAAATGCCTGTAACTCTGTCTTGTTTTGGGGGGTTGGGGCTTCCTTGATGGCTTTTACTTTGTTCCCGGTCGGGTGGATGCCATGTCGGTCTAGGAGGTACCCCAGAAACTCGACTTTCTCTGTGTAAAGTTGGCATTTCTCCCTTTTCACTTTTAAACCGGCCCCTTTGAATTTCTCTAGTACTTCCCTTAGGCGACCCTCTAGATCTTCCCGGTTGGTTGCTGATACTAGTATGTCATCGAAGTAAGGGACCACCCCTTTTATTCCTTGTAGGAGTCTCTCCATGAGGCTTTGAAAAATCCCCGGGGCCACGCTGACTCCAAACTGGAGTCGGTTACAACGAAACGCCCCCCGGTGGGTGACAATAGTTTGTGCCTCGGCGGTTTCGTCATCGACCGGCAGCTGCTGATAGGCTTGTGCCAGGTCGAGCTTCGCGAAGTTATCTTTTCATTCTGCCCATCAAGTACTGGAAGACAGCTGTTACGGTTAAAGTGGCTTCCTCTTGGCTGCTATTCCTTCCCCACTCCGCCTGTGCCATGTAAAGCACTGTCAGAGGCAAATGGGAGCGGGAGGGTAATTCTCCGCAGAAAGCCAGAATAAGGTCATAACTTGGCTTTATCATAGTTTTTCCAATTCAAAGAAGCAACCTGGTTGATACGTATTATAAAACCACCAGTGATGCTCTATTACATGTGTATTGCAGCCATTTTGTGTGTCTGTGTTGTGTGTTTGTGTTTAGCAAAATGTTAATTTGAAAGGATTGGATTATATATTAACTTTTTGCAACAATAGTAAGCCATTTTTAAAATCATCAGTTCTTTCTACTTCAACTGAATTGCCAGAAATTGTACTTGTAACATTTGATTGCTATCTTATCTAGTTTTCTCCCCCTCTAGGACTATGTTTTCGTCCGTAAAAGTGGAGAAAGTTGTTGATTTTTTTTTTTTTGATGGATGTGTCTGTGTGTGTGCGTGCATGCACATCTTTTCTTTTTCAATGGGTGATTTAGCCTGCATAAGCCAGAACCCCTACCACAATCATTGCTGAAAGTAGAGCTTTCATGATGCTGGCTATGAGTTCTGATATGTGGAGGCATCATCTCAGAGAAGGCTGGTTCAAGTAATAACAAATAGCCTTTTAAATAACGAAACTTTTCTCTCTTTTCAGGACTGTGCAAGTGAAGTGGCCTTTTCCCTTCCCTGACCATGGCATTTTGGCTTTGGGCCCTCTTGGTGTTGATGAGTACAGAGAGTGCAAGAGCTGAAGATCCAGGATTCAAAGCTTGTAGACTTCAAGGCAAAAAGGTACTAGAAGTCCTACCTGGAGGTGGCTGGGACAACTTGCGCAATGTGGAGATGGGCAAGGTCATGACCCTCAACTACTCCCAATGCCAGACCACTGAAGATGGTGAGTACCTCATTCCCAATGATGTCTTTGTGGTGCCCCTCAAGAAGAGCATAATGGAGGTCCACTCTGAAATTATTAAAGACTGGCTGTCCTACACTGATGCATTTTCCAAATCCATCAATGCTGAGGCATCCTACCTCACTGTGCTCAATGGCAGGTTCTCCACTGGTTGCCAAGAAACGAAGACCCACAATGTCTATGATGAGACAGTCACCACAAGAGTGCAAGTACGGCATCACATCTACTCTGTGAAAGCTCAAACGTCCTTCACTTTCCACAAGGACTTCCGCCATCAGCTTGTGAGCATAGGCAACCAGCTGGAGAACAACCAGAGTCGGATTGCTGAGTACATGGCAGAAATGCTGGTATTAAGCTACGGCACACATGTCCTCACAAGTGTGGAGGCTGGAGCGTCCCTCATACAAGAAGATCAGGTGAAAAAAAAGTTTTTGCTGGACAACGATGCTCAGAAGGCAAGCATCACTGCCTCTGCCTCTGTTACTTTTTTCCACAAAATCAATGTGGGAATTGGGACCTCCATGGAAAGTTTGAGTAATATAACTAAGGAGTATGTGGCAAATACAATAAATTCCAAATTGGGGGGCTGGGGCAGTGTGCCCTTCTATCCTGGCATCACCCTCCAGAAATGGCAGGAAGGCATCCCCAATGGTTTAGTAGCAATAGGCAAGTCAGGGCTTCCACTGCCATTTTTCATCACCCCTGATGCCTTACCTGAATTGCCAGAGCCTACAGTTCGTCGAGTGGCCACTACGGTGGAAAATGCTATCCGCCTCTACTATGCAATCAACACCCACCCAGGCTGCGTTGAGCCCAGCTCGATGAATTTCAACTTCCAGGCCAATGTTGATGATGGCTCGTGCCAAAATCCCAGCACCAATTATACCTTTGGTGGAATCTTTCAGGAGTGCCACGGGGTTTCGGGACAGGACCCAGAAGAGCTTTGCCAAGCTTACCGTATCCAGAACCCCTTGACTGGCAACTACTCTTGCCCACAGAACTATTCGGCTGTCCTGCTGCATGAAGAGCAGCGTACAGCCAACCAGCCCAAGATGGAGTGTCATCAGCAGTGCCATACTTGCTGGCTTGTCCTTAAGTGCTGTAAGAACGTGTGCGGCATCCGCTACTACCCCAGCACAGTGAAGTTCTTTGCTTATTGGTGTGCTGCCGCAGGTCCAATAGCTCAGAGTACCGGATTTCTCTTTGGAGGACTCTACAGTACCGGGAATGAGAACCCGGTGACTAGCACCTATACCTGTCCGGCCTACTACTTCCCCTTGGTCCTGTTTGATAATCTGAAGGTGTGCGTCAGCAATGACTACGAGATGGGCTCCCGCTTTGCGGTGCCCTTTGGTGGGTTCTTCAGCTGCCAGTCTGGCAATCCTCTGGCAGGCTTACGGAAGGGCCAAAGCCCTGGAATCCTCCAGGATTTTTTCTACCAAGATTCTCCTACTAAATACCCCATGAAATGTCCAGCTGGACATAGTCAACATAAGGCGTATTTGAGCGATGGCTGTGAAATTCTCTATTGTTTGCAGGCAGGGACACTTTTTGCTCAGCAATTGGCTCCCATCAAGCTCCCCCCTTTTCTGCGCACGCCGTCCCCAAATGGCAGCCTTTCTGAAACGATCCTGGTGAGCACCGAAGGTAGCCAAGCCTGGGTCAAAATACCGCAGAGTGGGAGCTGGAGGTTGGCCAATGGCACCGAACGGAAGGAAATAGCTCTTCTTTTCCAAGGAAGCAACAGTTTGGGACTATCAAGTGGGGCCATTGCTGGGATTTGCATCGCAGTGATGGTAGTCTTGGTTATCTTCGTTTTTATTGTGTTCAGAATTCGACGCTACAAGATGAGAGGCTACCAAGAGGTGATAAATGAGGACCTAGGCAATGATGGCAGAAACTATAGAACCACAGAGACACCTCCAGAACTTAGTGCTGCATAAAACACCTTTTCATCTATTCTTTGAAGTTTAATTCCAATTGTGGGGAGCTGAATCTGGAAAGTGGGAGAGGCAGAATAATAATGGAGAGCTGCGTAGGGGTAGGGGAAGTAAGCATTAACTATGAGTGTACCTAAAAATGTTTGACCGAAATGATGATAACCACCTTCCAAAGCAAAAAAAATAATTTGCTTTGAATAATTAATAGGTAATTAATAATTCACTTACCTGAATGCAGGTAAAATAAGCAATCTGAGAGAAATCAGTTGAAAGATCTAGACTTTATCCTGAATGTCAAATTACATCAACAAAAGAAAATCAATTCAGAGGTAACAATATAGCTTTTTGTTTGAGCAACTGTAGTTCTGCAGCTGAAAGAGAACAGATTACACAGACAAGATAGGAAAGTATTTAAAAGTAATTTTAGCAGACTGAGACATGATTTAGAGCAAGAACAGCTCTTTCTGTAATGCACTGAGAATTCATTTATATGTAAGGGGATTTGTTTTACTCTAATTGCATCTTGACAGCCATCATTTGATACATTTTTAAAAAGCGGATGAGCAACACTACCAAGTAGAAGCAAGCTTGCTTTGGCAATAGCTCAACACATTCTTTGTCAGTTTAATAAATTCTGTGTTGTTGTTTAGAAAAAAATCATCACCACTTAGGTGATGATTTTTCATCACTGCCTTATGTAATTAGCCCTAATTGGTAAGATTGAGATAACTGCTTTTATTCCTGGAAACGTATAGGTTTATTAAAGCATTACAAAACTCAACTTGTATTGGAAAATAGAGGTCAATTTTGCCTTAAGCCAAATATATGTGACAATATTCTGAAATGCTTTATCACTGAATACTTTTGTTTATTCTCTTGGTTTAGCACAATAAATTGATATATTTGGACATTCATGGTTAGTTGCTCTTCTATATTTTTTTTATTTCACCTCTATCTGCTCATTAAATTCGGATTGTATTGCTTTCTTTTGAAGACTATTTTTGAGTACGTTTTATCTCCAACTGAATATTATTGAACAGTGGGGCCAAATTGGAGGCATTAAAGGACATTTATTTACATTTTGGATTTTGTTACGTTTGTGTTACACCCTGGGTCATCACAGACAGAATCTCATACTCTATCACTTCACTCATCTCACACAAATCTTGTTTAGCCTCTTCAGACCAGAAAATAATGGAGTTGTTCCTTTATCCATTAGACAATGGGAGGAGGTAGAATTATCCAACTGTGAGAGCAGAGAATTTCTAGATTCATGACATTTTTAGTAAGGTATTGACTCATTGTTTGATGCAGCTGTGCTTGCTCAAGGCAAAACAAATACACACATACTTCACTAAAAGCCAAAATCACAAATGAGCTTGTCTTGATATTGGAACTATCCTGAATTATATTCATGCCTCATTTATTTGCAACTTGAGTCCTGGCAAGGACTGGGTCAGAAACAAGATAGCGATTCTCTCTCTTTCCAGCTTCCTCATATATAATTTCATTTATAAGTCTTAGGGGATAGAAATCCATCTTTAGCTAAGGTGCCTAAAAGACCCCCATTATGGTTTTAAAAATACTTTATATTATTATTTTCATATTTTAAAAAAACCTGACTTTGTTTTTATGGGAACTGTAAAACTGTTGCACACTCAAATAGCTTTTAGCTAAAAGAGGTGATTGGCAAACATCTGTTTGATGTTATTCAATTCTAGACAGCTAATGGTCCTAGGGACCCTGCCCATAGGGTAAGCATTCCAGGCTCCATAGAGATATAACTGGTGACCTCTCAATTGCTGGACAGAAAGGCAGCCTCCCCATAGCAGTGGCCACTCTTTATTTCTTTGCCATTGGTGCTCCAATAATAGAACAGTTGAACAAAAATCAGTAGGGTCTTTAGGATCCGTAGGCAGAGGGAAAACATCTGTCCAGTGATTGGGGCATTATCTAGTTTGGTACTGTTCCATATTAGCATTCTTGGAATACCCTCACCTGATTGGCCCAAACGGACTGCTCTGTGATTGGCAGAAAGAACAGCAGTGATTGGCTTGTAATAAATCAACCGCGATTGGCCGCACCGATCGCGGGAGATTCAAAGAGCCGTCATTGGTTGCAAGCCGCCGGCAATCCCTATATGAAGGGCGGCCCGGCTCGCAGGTCCAGCACAGATCTGTATATTCAATAAAGAGCTGAACAGTCACCCTGGTCTCGAGTCTCTTTTCCCGCGATCTAACAGGTACAGTGGTGGGATTCAACAATTTTTTACTACTGGCTTTGTGGGCGTGGCTTGGTGAGCATGGCTTGGTGGAAGTGGCAGGGGAAGGATACAGCAAAATCTCCATTCCCTCCCCACTCCAGGGGGAAGGTTACCACTGGTTCTCCAAACTACTCAAAATCTCTGCTACCGGTCCTCCAGAACTGGTCAGAACCTGCTGAATACCACCTCTGATTTGGTAAAGGAAACGTCTGCAAGCAAACAATCGAGCTCAAAGAACACCAAAGATTACACAGTTCAGCCCTGAGTTACAAATATTATCTTCTGTCGGTAAATTCGACACTTCATTTACACTCTTTGAGCAATCCCTACAAAAGTTGTATAAGTACATAGTAGGTTTTAGGTCTCAGTTTTATTGGAAGGTCCTTGGTTTTCCTCAACTTGTACCAGGGGTGGGATTCAACCGATGTTGCTACTGGTTCAGTGACTATGTTTTGCACGCGCATGCATGTAAAAAAACCTTAAGCTGTGCCGCCCAGACAGCTGAAAAGCGCTGCGTGCAGATGCACAGCGTTTGAAAAGCCCCCTTTTTCCCTGCTTTTTCAACCTCAGTTGTGCTGCGCAAAGCAGCTGAGGTTGAAAAAGCAGGAAATAAAGGACAGCTAAGAGCCTGGGTGGGTGGGTGGGCCAAACAGCAGCAGACACAGAACCGGTTTGGTGTCTGCTGCTCTTCAGAGCTACCAGCTCTATAGAATTGGGCAGAACCGGTAGCACCCCACCCCTGACTTGTACCGAGTATAAAGTAGTAAAATGATACTTGTATAGCTTCGAAGCATAAGACTTTCTTTTAAAGTATAGTTTGAAATGAACTTCAGTTATGCTGAGAATATTATTACATAATCTCAGATTCAAAGAACAATTTTTTAATCCTTTGACATGCATAGTTTTTCATCATATTTAAAAATGCCTAAGATGGACAGAACCTGGTGGGGTGGGAACCAGCAATTTCTGAGCCAGCGATGGTCATTATATAATCACAGCTCAACTATGACTCAACAAATGTCTATTAATTCACAATGGCAGGAGGAAGACAGGTGTTCAACACCTCAAGCATCGATACAGAAATCCCTGACTTCTTTGGACTGATATGGGGGTAACATTGTATTTGAGTCTTCCTTTTTATCCATAATATACATTCTAATCTAACCAAGTCTGGCAGTTTTCTGTCACATCCAACCAAGAGTTCAATTATGGGGTTAAATGAGATCTGCTATTTACTGCCAACCCTACATGGGGAAACTGACACATCCCATTTACAGAGATTCAATTAAACACTTCAGCCTACATGGGATCCTTGGTGGTCTCTGAGCTTGCTTGTTTTCTTGCAGACCTTTCATTACCCAAACTAGGTAACATCATCAGTGCTAGTAAGGAGTGCTATTTGCTGTCAGTTTATATTCTTGTTCTGTCAGTTTTTCTGGGGATGGTCTTAGACATTCTTTGGTTGGTCTGTTTACTATTGGCTTCAGCCTACACCCATGAATGTCTGTACCTGTTCAATATAAACATAAATACATCTGACATTTTATGACCCTAAGGAGAGAGAAAACATATTCACTACACAGAGTACTTATAACTCAACTATTCTTATTGGGTTTATACTTAAGAGAGATTGTAACAACTTTTAAATGGTACCAAGCTCACCTCTTACACAGAAACTGTTATCTTGTGCCAGGAACCATTTTACACTACATAGAAGATTAAAATCCAAAGATGCCAGTGGTAAAATTGATGCCAGCATTACATTGTTGGATGATAGAGCAATATATGTGCCAAATGGCCTGCTGTGAAGAATCCCTTTGCAGTGCAAGAGGCCATCTTCTCAGCAGTGATGAAGATTTAGTGGCAAGTGGTTGTTTTCTACTGCATAAGAAGTGATTCCTCTTTTCCCACCCCTTCCAATTTTCTTCCTTCTGTATTTCATGAGTGCATTTTTTCCCCTCTGCTGTTTTTGGTCTACTGACATCAGTAGCCTAATAAATGAAAGTCTACAAAATACTGAAATAATTGTTGAAGTTTTATTTTAACGAATGTGGCTTACCACCTTGAATTAAAAGTCTGTCGATGCATTTTGAATACTGAAACAGACTTTAGAATGGTATTTCCATGTATGAAGCTTGAAGCAATTGGATCCATTGAATCCCTCACAATTTTTTTTTTAAAAGAGTCCATTTGTCCAGTGAGTCCAAGAGTCCAGTGGTTAAGGTGTTGGCCTACAAACCAGGAGACAGTGAGTTCCAGGCCTCCATTATTATGTGAAAGACAACTGGGTGACTTGAGCCAGTCGCTTTTTCTCAGCCCAACCAACCTTACAGAGTTGTTGTTGTGGGGAAAATAGGAAGAGGAAAGAGTATGAGATATGTTTGATGCCTTGAATTGTATATGAGTAGGATAAGTAGGATAAAAAAATTTTTTTTAAAAAAAGACCTGAGCTTCTCATTTCCTTCAGGTGCTATGACTTAAGTCTAAAACAATATAGATTTATAGCATTATTGCAGATTAATTCTATTGCACACATAAGGCCAAAGGCATATTAATATTAATTCTTCATCTCATTTATCATTCTTGCAACTCTGCAACGGGCTGATATATCATAAGCTTTAAATAATTTTGGCGGTTTGATTTAGCTTTACCCCTCCAATTTGTGAAGACTGTTGCATTTCAGTGTGGCAAATTGAGACACAAACAGAATTATGAATAGAGAGGAGTAACTCATTTTACAGTCTAGTAGCTGATATATAGATAGACATGAACTCATATCAAAGGGGGAACTCAAGCTAATTTAAATTTCACACCCAATCAAGCATTTATCCATAGTTACCGGCTGGCTGAAACAGTCACCTCTGATCAGAATATGAAAACATTCTACTCAGCACTAGACTAAATATGGCAATTCCTCTTTTTCTAATATTTTGCTGTGTGTTCAACACATACAGCTTGTTCAAATGCTTTAATTACCTAGCCTTGGTTATAATAAAAGTTAACTGGACTTGCAAATGAGAAACATTATCTATTAAATAGGAGATAGTGCAGCAGATGGCAACAATGAGCTGACTGCAGCTATTAAAAAAAAAACTAAGCAGGTCAGGCTAGGTTAGCTTTTGGAGGGCGCCCCCAGGAAATCACAGAGCTGTCATTTGCATAAGGAAGTTGAAAAAGGGTCCTGAAAGAGGACAATGGCAAACTACTTCCATGGTTGCCAAGAAAACAAAACACTAAGCTCAACGCAAAGGAATCTTGATCTTTATAGGCCCTTCTAGTGCTTAGCCTGCCACTGTAACAGCATTTTCTGTCCAAAAATAAATGACGAAGTAAATTAAAATACCACAAGTGTTCTCCTGTTGCAATGAATCTAGGGAAATAATGCAGAAACCAAGCCTAAAACTGTTTGATGCAATCTTTGGACAAAAGTGTGAAGACTTTATTTAGTTAGTCAAATTTATATGGCTGCCCATTT